TTCCCTCTTTAACTCATCAATCACTAAAGAAAAAGAAACATTTTCTCCAACAATTTTATTCAGCCTTTGATGATAACCTTCCAGATCATTATTTGTCCTTATGCTTTGATCAAAAACAGACCAAGTCTCTGGAGACCAAAATGTATTTTTTATCCAAGTATTAGACACATAGTCCAACAAATCAGACAGTTTATTTTCTTTTGTCAGTTGATTTTGAATTTTAGTGAATTGATTTTCAATCATGCCATGAGGCAAATATGGCAAAGACATAATCATTCTCATGGATTCCCAAGCTCCATCTTTTTTTCTAAATTCCCTGCTATAACCGAGTTCCTTAAACAAAACAAATATTAATTGGATTGTTAAAATTTTAGAAATCAATAAACCTGAATTTTTCTAAATATTGCCTGAGACCAGTGAAATGAACATCCAGTCAAGACAGCATCAGGCATATATTTTGTAAAGTTTTCCAAACAGCCTTTTCATAGTCTAAGACTATTTTCTTAGGAGCACAATTTTCAGCTAAATCCTTCACAGCTTAAAAATTTAACATGATTGCTTATTAGTAAGTATATTTATGAAATGTTAATTCTTACCTGGAAAAGTAGTTTATATGCTCTCTTTTTTTTAGAAGACAGAAAAGAAAAAGCAAGGAACTTGCTTAAGCTGTCCATTTTTTTTCAAAAATACATGAATAGAGTACATTTGAATGAAAGGTTCATTGGCAATCTTAAAAGTACCATCAAGGTACCAAATTTTCCCCTTTGACAAAGCTCCAATTGATGATTTGTTGCAAAGATAATGATCCTCTCATTATTCATATTTATATCTTCTTTAAAAATTCGGAGGAATGAATGTCATATTCAGCTCAAAGTTTTTATCATTGGGTACAATAGGCCTGTTCTTCCTTCTATTCCAATTTGCCACTTCTTTACAATTAATTATATTTGGTAAGTTTGAAGCACTAGAATACTTGACAAGAACATTTTCAGCAATTCTTTTACCTGAAGAATTTATATCACTAGAACAATTGTCTTTGATTTCATTTCTTATATGAATCCTGGTTTCTAAATTTTTTATTGGTGAATGACAATGAATGTTTGTCCCAATTGCAAAATTGCTTCCTTTTTGATTGATGCTTGCTTTACATTTTCTTTTTTGCTTCTGACAGAACAAGTCCATACAGTAGTGTTTTTGTTTTTTAATTTAATAGTATATGAAAAACCTTTGTGAAAAAGTAAGTCTTTGCCCTTTTGACTTCCATGTGGCAGAATTTTAAAATGAAAATCGTCAGAAGAATTTTCTTTGGCAGATGTTTCACTTTCAAAAGATTCTTCCTCAATTTTTTCAGATTCTATATATGCATTTTGAATTGTTTCAAAATTTTCAACTTCAATTTCATTATCATATTCAATATCACTTCCATTAATGATATTTCCTTTGTCAACCTTTGTGTTTATACTTTCATCATTATTGTCATTGCTGCTCCATGATATAGATAACCTCAATTCTTCTGTGAACTCTTCAGTACTCTTTTCTTGTCCTTGATTATTGTCTCCTTTCTCATCAATTTTTAATTTTTCCTCAGTCATGCTGTTATTCTCCTTAATATTCTTTTCTGGATATTCAACAATTGCTTCTTCCTTCTCATTAAGTTTTGCAGTAGAATTACTTTTTATTGGTACACTTTCCGTGCATTTTTTTGGTTCATCAATTCTCTTTAACATCACAAAACAGGTTTTTTTAGTTATTTTATAACAAATAAAACAGAGTGGTGATGCTGTTGATGAATCTGGAAGAAAAAAAAAACAGTAATGTTTTTCAAATAGAAGATAGTACAAACCATGCAGACATTTTATATGACAAATATGCAGGCACAATGAGCATTGGCCTTTTATTTGCCTACCAACAAATTTATCATTGCAAATAGAACACTTGTCCATTATTCAATATTTTTTCTAAAATATTGGAGAAAAAGAAGAGCTAAACTAAAATTAATAAATGAATTTGTCATATCATTATTATGATTATTTATGTAACAATTAGTATTTTGACAATAACATTGAAAAAAATCTTCATTAACAAATAAAATTGCTAAATTTATGTTAGATTGATTATTAATAAAATAATCAATAAGTTTTTTAATCACAGAGATTATTAAGAACAAAAAAAAGCTCTAAAAATTAAAAATTTCATATTACCTCAAGAGAGTGAAAATAGAAGAGGAAGTTGATATTTTGTATCTCTTTTCCTGAAGATTTCTTCATTTCTACCAGTTTTTTTAAAGTTTTTGTGTTAATTTGTTTTTCAACATATATTTATATTTAAATGAAAATTTCTTTATTTTATGTGTTCTTTTGATTCATGGATGTTTTCTTTCAGTTTATGGACGTTTTCTTTCACTTTATGGACATTTTCTTTCAGTTTATGGACGTTTTCTTTCACTTTATGGACGTTTTCTTTTGGTTTATGGACATTTTCTTTCATGGACGTTTTCTTTCATGGACATTTTCTGTCGCATCCAAATAAAACATACATTCAACAAAAAATTCATTCTTCATAGTTGTACAAAAAGTTCTTACTCTTGCATTCCATCTTGGGATCTCCTGAAACTTTCGATGAAAGTTATTCGACTTTTGTCAGAACTCAGATCTTAGTGTATAGTTCAACATTATGAAAACCTAATCAGAAGTAAGGAGAGTCAAGAGGTTTGAGGAACAGTACAACTTACAAACTTACAAACTTACACTTCACATCTGATCAACAAACAAACACAAGTACATTCTTTCCATAAAATACAAAAAAATACAAATGCAAACATAGATGCATCTATACATTCAAATATCACAAAAAGCAATTTTCACCAGAAACAATCTAAATTGCAAACAACAATAGACACATACTCAAAAACAAAAAATACTTATCTTAAAACCTACAAACATCAATACAACAAATCATTTTCATACAAGGTAAGACTAAGTTAACCAACAAAACACATATACCCCAAAAAACATTATAATCTTATTTTTCAAAACTTACAAACATCAATACAAACAAAAAAATAAAAGGCAAGGTAGGACTCAGTTCTAGAATTGATCCTAGCCTCCCCTTCAAGGTAGCAGTAAGAGAAGCTATACTCAGAAATTTTTTACATCATGAACCAAGATATTGTTTTCTCTGTCAAACCTGTGCAGAACGTCCACACTCTTGCATTCCATTTGGAACTCCTGAAAATTGGTGGAAGCTACTCAACTTTTACCAGAACTTAGATCATAGTGTCAAGTTCAACTTTTATTAAAACCCTAACCCTGTCATTATTAGTTATACTTTAACACAACAGATGGCGCCAGTGCAAGGGTGGCCTGTTGTTATATTATGTAATGTTTTTTTTATGTTCCTGTGGTGAAGGGTATAAATTGATGATAATGTTCAGTTAAATTTACAACCTGATGAAGCCTCAAGTAGAGGCGAAATATTGTTGTAATATGTTTTAAAGTTTAAAATAAAAATTGATAAAAAGAAAAAATTGAATTGTTATTGAATAAGACTAAGAGTTTGACAGAGAACTGAAGCACCAAGGAGCTCAGACATAGAGAACTCCTACCTATTGGAAAATCAGTAGAACCCTGGAACACTAACTAACCAGTTCCCAAAACCTGATTAAGATTGGGAGCCCAGATCTATAATCCTGACCAAGGAGAACCCCTACCTAACATTGATTAAAAGTTAGGTATTACACTGGAACACTAGCTAACCAGTTCCCAAAAACATTACCAGAGTTGTGTGAGTGGCCTAACCCATAACCCTTACCAAACCCTAACCTAATTGATATGCTTCCCGCCAGGTGGCAAACATGCATTGACAATAATGGGGAATTTGAAGCTAAATAGACATACCTATGACATTAATTAACATTTAGGAATAAGCATATTTTGCAATTTTTTTTTAGCTGTTAGACACAAACAGTGAGAATTTTCTGGGTGACCCTAATATATATAGAGAGAGCAGTATTACTTGGGTTTCATCTAATGGTGTACAACTTTGGTTATATTTTACATGCTTGAACTCTATTATTTTATGCAACATATACATGTACATCTTAAAACCTACACAAGAAAAAGCTATAACATTGGCCAAACATAAGTCTGATTAGTCAGCTTGAAGGCTCATCTTTAATTACCAATAAAGGTTTGGCCAAGTTATAATTTAATTAACTTGCCTAGGGTGTGGCCAAGTTATAATTCAATTAACCTTCCTAAATGTTGAACCTTGTAACATCCTCTTACTAAACATAAATATGAACTACACATTTCAGCAACTGTAAAGTGATGATTGGATGTCAGAGACAAACCTCAAAGTATATAAATCCTCATTATTCTCATTTGGCATGCAGCTTCCATCTGGACCCAAGGACCTGGGAAAATCATCTGGAAACAACCTCCACTGGAACCATCCATCTACTCCTCAACATTGGAAGACAGTTTGGTAATTTGGCAACCTGCTATTACAAACTATCTACTCTGCTATTGAACTCTCATATTGTTACTTGCTTAAATATTATTATTGCGAATAAACTGTTTTAATTTAAACATTTGTTTAAAGGTTCGAGTAGAACCAGTATTGTTATAACTTGCAAACGCATAGACTTTGCCAGCAAGAGCAGTACAATGGTATATTAGGCATTTATTAGATATAGTTTCTCATTTTCAGACAAATTATTTGTGAAATATTTATTTTCATTCTTTTACATAAATTTGCAAGTGAATTTCTGGAAGTGTTGGTGTGAGCTTTCTATATGTGAAGGAGGAAGTTTTCTCAGAAGAATAGAAAAGGCTGAATTTTGCCAAAGTTTTTCTTGATCCTGTAGGAGAGTAGAGGCTGTATATCATTGAATATAGATGTTTAGTGAATGATATCAACTTGATTGTCTACATATATTTTAAATATCACCTATTTTTTGGCTTATTTATTTAAGAACCCATTAGAAATTCATATTCACCTTATTGCCTTATATAGGCTATAGCATGGTAATTGCTAATTTTACTCCTAACTGACATGAATGGTTGACACATTCCTTCATTGTCAAAATAGGTAAACCCTCTGCAAAATGATTTTCCTTTACATTTTTGAGCACATTCTTCAATTGAAACTTTAGATTTTCCCATATCTGATCCCACAATCTGCTTGTAAGCATAGTATCTAAAGCCAGTTGGTTGTGTTCTGATGACTATAATGGAAAAAGATTGTTAGAATAAACTCTTAATTGACTAGAAACTTACATCTTGGTTGTCTTATATACATAATATTCACTGGTCTATTGACAAATTCAGATCTTTCAACTATTTTATTCTTTAGCCAACATTTTCTCTTGACAGTGTTGTATGCAAAGCCAACACAACCACTAGTAGTTCTGCATTTATTTCCACAAAATTGAGGTGTAACACTATCTATATTTTCTATGTCATTTCCACGTGAACACCATTTACTCAACATTCCATGGTCATTAACATTATCTGTGGAAGATTGTTTTTTTTTTGTTATTTTGAATGATAAGAATTTTATTTTTAAATTTGACAAACTAACAATTCCTATTTTTTATGTATAGCCAATGTTTTCCTTTAGAGGGATTATAGTTCAAGAGAGTAAATGTTTGACACTTTCCACTCATCAAAATAAAAGCCCTGCAATCAGGGCTCAATGAACAGTAGACAGAACACTCTTCCAGAGAATTTGTTTTTATGAAAACTGGAGCAATTCCTGGTAGATCACTCAATTTTTTTTCATAGTTTAGGAATTCTGCAGAATGGCCTAGAAAGAACAAATCATTGAGAATTAAAGAACAAATTTAGTTAAGAAACATCAAACATACCACATGTAAAGAGACCAAGCAGCAAGGTAAGAGAAGCTAAAAAGAATTTCATGTTGATAATGAACTCAACTTCAACCTAATGCACTACTGAATTAAAAATCATCTCTATATATAAACTGTTTCTTTGAACAGCTTTCTATTGTTTAAAATTTTAAAAACCTTAAAATATGTTACAAAAAAGCACCTGCAACTTGTCCAAAACAGATTTATGACTGGGAACACAATTGGCACTTAACAGGTGCAGTCATTTGGGTATTTCTTTCCAAACATTGGCCTCTTTTAAGTACAAATAACAAACCAACAGCTTTCATGCTTTATTCTATTGTAAAAGTAAAAACTTTTGGTCCAACACATAAAAGTAAGTAAAGAGAGTGTATAAAGAAAGGGACAAAATATCTGGACACCATAAATTTTGATTAGCCAATTTTTAAAATATTTTTCTTGATGAAAAAAGCTATGCTTTGCTCTAGTTTGTTAATGATATATTAGGTGAAACTTCAATCTACATATAAATATCTATCACATGGTATTTGGGTGAGTTTTTAAAAAATTTTTTGTGTTTTTATATTTCTATGAGTTTTTTTCATATTTGGCTTATTCTCCTATTATCTCTGATGTACACATACATTCGTCAGTATTATTCTACAATAGATAGGTAGTGTACTACTCTTGCTGGCAAAATCTATGCATTTGCAAGGAGTATGGGAAAAAACATCCCAGGGTGGGAAAAACAAGTAGTGGGAAAAGATATTTGAATTTTAAAAAAGATTGCTCTATTTTGGGAACCAATGGCAATATACTGAGAATATAATAATTAATAATTAATATGGATGGGGGTGCGAATGTACCCATGGCGGGTTGAAGCCTACCTTAATATATCTGAAATTGAGTGTAATATCTGTGTTTTTTATATTCCCTAACCTTAAATTGGAGCCCCTCTAACAATAAATTCATCCAAATATTCAAACTAACCCTTTCCTAAAATGTTTTCATGGTTGGAAATATTTGCTAACAGGTACATTCGCACCCAACCCCAATGAATATATGTTTATTAAAATGTATTAAAAATGAAAAAAGCTAAGAATGTTATACAAAGTTTAAAAGTTACTAGAATAAAGTAAAAAGTATGTTAAGACACTGAGAATTATTTTGAATAGATTAATGCAATCTTCTGCAAGAGGACAGCAGATGTAATCATTCCCAATTTGTATTCATCCCAAACAGCAAATACTTGGTTCTGCTTCTGGATGACACTTTTCTTCTGATACTTCTTTTTAGGATTAGTGTTAAAACAAGCATGTTTTCTGTTACATTCTGTATCATGTACATTTCAACTATATTTAATATTTACTTTTGTTACTGTACTCTTTCAATTCTAAAATGTTTGGTTCAAGAAAAAAAAGTATATTCTTTATTAAGCTAACATACTAAATATACTATTTAGTTAAATAACTGTACAGGGGCTAGTTCTGTCTCTGTCCTGGGCAACTTCAAAGAAAAATATGGTCTTATCTAAATGATGTAGTAATACCTGAGTTAAACAATTGATTGATTGACCTACTGATAGGATGCGACTACATTGACATGATAGCTCTGAGAACAATACTAGAAGGAAGTGGCTGTCATTCATTCTAAGCCAGAATGTGGGACAGTGGACAAACAGATAGCAACCCATATTCTCTTCAATGAGCAGGAGGAAAAACTCTTTTTAGGTCACCAACAAGCTAATATAATGATAGGTTTGAACCTACATTTTTATTCAATCTAGGTTAGGGTTACAGGGGGGGTTCCTTTTTAGTTGAGTATGCCAACTTGTATATATATATGCCTAACTAATAATTTACTAAAGTCTTTTCATCTGCTGGCATCTGTAGGCTGAGATATTGGAGAAAGAAAATTAATGATTAAAAATTTTTTTCTGTTATTTTTAATTTTTTTTTTTGAAAATGAACAATTTGAAGGTGCACAGTAATAAATTGGATTCAAAATTTAGAAATTTTGAAGCAAACTATATGTTTGAGGTGTAAAAGAGGAAAAAATGATGTTTTTTTCTACATTTTGACCTGTAGCTCAAAACCCAAGCCCATGATTTTTTTTATTTTTTGAATATAGCCTTATAACATATTTCTAAAACACATATCAAAAATTAAAAAAAGTTGTGGTCTTGGAATTAGAGATATTAAGCATCAAAGTTTGTGCTTGATACAATGGTTTTTGACTAACCCATGTTTTATAAAGAAAAACCCTAATACAAAGTACACAGTGTCATGTTCAACTTAAAAAATTAGGGTGTAAATACCAGCAGAAAGTTATATTATTCAACTTACAAAAGCTAATACACAATGATAATGATGATGATGTATTTGATGATGACAACAATCAACTAACAAATCACAATAAATCAGGGTTAGCAGCAGGAGTTACAATTACAAAGCAACAGGCATTCAAAATTATAAATTTCAAATGTCTGTTATCAGCACCAGCTACCAACAACAACAACAACAACAATAATAATAATAATAATAGAGAACAGCTGAAAGAAAGAAAAGGGTCACCAAATCAGGGTTTATAATATCACCAACAGTCAACATTTAACATATGTCATTGTACCAGGGGATGGAAATTGTCTGTTTAGCTCTCTACTTTACTTTCAGACAAGGTTTACATGTCCAAATGTTTTAAGAAAATTTATTGTGGGACATTTGCTATGTGGAAATCTGGGGAATAAAAGTTTACTTGGAAATGCAACATTGAAAAAAAGGATCAAATGGGAGTATCAGAATATGGATAATTATAAAAAAACCATGTATTGGATGTGAGTCACATTATTTGGGACAATGGTTTGGGGACTAATATTTTTGATACTTTTGTATTTGATGACCTTTCTCAATGCATGTACTGATCCTACCCCCCATTCCAGCATACAAATTTAGTAGCAAGTCAGGATTTTTGTTTATAAGTTTGTAAGAGCATTTTTTAATTTTCTCCCAAAGTTCATCTTCTGATGTGAATTTCTTCTATAACTGGGAGAACATCTTTGACCACAAAAGTAGTGTAGTTTTGGGCATTTAATCTTTTGCTTACTCTCCATACCTCAAACACACCATCCAAGGTTATTAGTCCCCAAACCATTACTCCACCTCTGCCCATATTTTTTGTTAATCTCATCTCTTTTTCCCTGTCATTTGTCCAGGTCCTGAAGTCATCAGGACCACTCAATGAAAACCTTGCCTCATCTGTAAATATGACTCTTGACCAATCTAAGTTATCTCGAATAGTTTTTCATTTAAAATCTTCCTAGCTGTCACCCTTTCCTTGTTTCTTTTAAGTCTCTTCACAATCCTATTCATTCTTGCTACATCTCTTTCTGTGAGTCTCATTGGACAACCCCTATTCTCTTGTTTGGGTGGCTTATACCTTGAAATGTCGCTAACTGTAGATGATGCCATTCCCAAAACCCTTGCAGTTTCCCTTACTTTCCCCAATTCTTCATAGTTCTGGATTACCAGGTTTCTAGTTCTAAACAAGTAAGTTTAAACAACCAGTTAATGGTTAAAGAACTGAACTGACAAGCTGTGGAAATGCATTTCCTTTTATACATTTCCAAAGCTTGGGTTCAAGTGGTCAAAGGATTACAAAGTTGAAATCTGACAGTCTCATAATTCTCATGTAACAAAATTATGAAAAACTGTTATATCACACATATAAAATATAATCCTAAGATTAGGGCCACATGTCAAACATGTGCTGCAGTAAACAGGCCTGCCTCATCAGCATCTGGTGTTTGACCTGCATCTTTTCCATGTTCTTTGTTCCTTTGTTAATTCCCAAGTAGCCGCCATCTGTTACAGTCAAGAGTCTATTTCTTACGAAATAGAGTTCTTTCTAAAGTAATAAAGCTAACACTACGAAATAAAAGTCTCTCTAAAGTTCCACCACAATAATTCCTACGAAATATAAGTATTTCTATAGTTGCACCAGTCTAATTCCTACAAAATAGAAGTCTTTCTAATGTACCCTTATATCTAAAGTCTAAGTATTGATATATCATTATATCTAAGTGCACACAGATAAATTTAGATGGTCAGCTTCTTTTGTAAGATGTAACAATTTTGGTAACATTCAATTCAACCATTGTATGAGAGAAATTGGAACTGGTCCAAAAGTCAACAATAGTTGAGTTTGACCTTTTGATACTCTTTAGCTGGTGGCTAAATAAATGTTCTTAAGTGGTTAAAGTAAGACTAATGTAGTTCTATAATTAATGCTAATTTCATTTCATTTGTTTATAAGAATTTTATATGCTCACGTCCATACATGCATTGTGGCATATATGTATAATAGAATTGTATGTACCTATCACGCAATGCTATTGTTAAGTAGTCACATTAAATAGTATTGAGTTAAGTCTATGATTTTCCAAAAAAAGAGCAGTTTCACACAAATTTAACACTTAAAATTTGTTCACAAACTGTGACATAAATCTAGTGTCAAAAAAACTATGACTCAAAAAAACTATGACTCAAAAAATCCAAAAAAATAAATCTTTATAAAAACTTCCCAGAGACAAAAATATATGAATATTTTTTAATATCAATTGGTTTTCTTTGACACAGCTTTTTCTCAAAAAACCTATAAAAGCAATTTGAGAAATTACAATCTTTAACATTTCAGAAGAAGAACTAGAGAGATGAATTCCTTCTTGATAATATTTTTAATGTGTAAGATATTAAATTTTATCCAATTTTTTTTATTCAAATAAGTTTTTCCTTTTTTAAAGCTATTACTCCATTTTGTTTTTCAAAGTTGGAAGAAAGCCAAATTGCAAATTACCTGTTTAGCAAATCTGACATGTCTGAAAAGAGTGTAGACAAAAGGTGCTTATTGTCAAGGAAAACTTAATCGCTGTTATTTACAATTTCAAGCATACTCAGAATCCACAAAACGTGTTTTCAATGCTGGAAATCTGTGTCAACATTATAGCGATTTAGTTGACTGCATAGATAATATTGAATCGTTCTGCATAATTACAGGCAAGGATGGCCCAGTAGTAGCAAGAGATTCTGTATGTAGTTCAGGTACATTTTGTTTCAAATGTCTATTTTGATTTTTTTATTAGAGATTAAGCGACACTACTCATTTTCCCCTTTTTTCTCTTTCTTTTTCTAGGTTGTCAAAGAACATTATCAGAACTTGATGGAGAACAACATAATACTAAATCATGCACATTTTATAAATTATTTGTTAATAAACTTAAAGAATGTGGTAAATATTATGGTACTCTAAGAGAGAATTTGGAGGCTGGCAAATGTAAGATATAAACAATTCATTAATATTTACTTGATAAGTTTTTTTAAATGAATGTATAACTTTAGGTATAGATGATAATGAAGGTATTAAAGATTTCAATCCAGGAAATGGAGGACACAATAGAGAATTTGATCGAGAAACTAGTGGAGCAGCTAAACAATCTCCTAAAATCACAATATTTTTTACTTTAATGGCAATAATTAAATATTTTTTATGAAAAATCAATTCAAGATTAAACCATAAAAAAAATGCATAAAAAAGAATTTAATCCATGTAAACATTTATTGATTGACATAAAATAATTATATTATCAGCAAAGTTGTTTATATTTGCTTTCATTTTCAACTATTCTCAAAATCAATGTTATTATTTTAGTCCTAAATGTAAGATTGAATACAAACTAACACTATATTTTCAACATTGATTGCTTAATTTAAATATTTAAATATTTAATAAATAGTACTCAATTATATATAACTTTCTCTCACTTCTTATTCATATAGAACATTTTCAAAACAAAAACAGAAATGATTCAGAAAATACCGGAAGATAAAATAATAAAAAGTTTCATTCAACAATTTTCAATACATAATTTGAATATTTTTAAATATCAATTGACTTTCTCTAGTGAGAATTTTTTTTTGTCAAAGCCTATGTACACCATTTGAAAAAGGGGTTTTTACCTTTTTTTGTGATTTAAAAGCTATCATAAAATTGTGTTTTTCCAAGTTGGAATAAATACTGTACTTTGTTGTATTGTAATTGTAGGAAGTCCTAGCTCGTGACTATCAAATTCGTCCTCTCCAATCATTTACCAATGTGCCAAAGTACTGGTCCAAATAGAACCTTTCAAGTTCGTCCACAAGTAGTCTTAATAAATGTAATTCCAGTAAAAATTAACCAACAAACACCAGTATTTCATTCAAAGAATATGTATTTGAGTAAATGAGTTTCTAGTTCTAAACAAGCAAGTTTGAACAACCAGCTGATGGTTAGAAAACTGAACTGACTACTGTTAAATTCTAAGGGTTTATATACTTTTCCAATAGTTCACAGTTCACAGATAAAAATATTCACACAAACAAATGTAACAATTTGGATAAAGGGAAAGTTCAAATATACTTCCATGTTTGTTACTTTTTCTTTATCTTGAAGAACTTTTGCTCCCTATTTTAGTAGGTCAGAAAGTTGCCTAAGATGTAACAATTATTAATAGAAGTTGGATTGATTCCAAAACACAAAAATAGGAAAAGGTCAACTTGATGCTGTTTTAATATACAACAAATTATTAATAATAATTGTTTGTGTAAGATAATATGTTTCTGTGTAAAGGACTGGTAGGATAAAAGTATTAAACTTAATCATCTAATATAGTATTGTGCATAAAATACTGTTGAAAAGTGACAATAATCTAAAAGCTCCAAATATAAATAGAATAGTGGAAGATATAATTAATATTCATTAAATATGATGTGTATAATAATTAGGGTTAACATCTAATATATTTAAATAGTGTATGTTGTAGTTTTAGGCGTGTAGAGTACTCTATAACACTCTTTCAATATTGCTTTCCATCGATGATTGAAATGTAACAATTTGTGTGTATTGTGTGAATTTGTGAGCCTGGTTATAAGCTTATGTGTTTAGTACCTACGAACTGCCTAAATGTGTACATATAAATATCTGCAAAAAAAACACTCTGTGTTTTTTAAACTAAATAAATACTCTCAATTAAAATTCATTCATAAACAAACTTGAATTTTAAAATATTCTTGAATGTCAATTTGAAAATTTAAACAGAATTTATTATTATTGTTTTTCAAGGATTTTATAGTTGGAATTTCAATTAAATGATAAACTGTATAAGCCTTAATCCATATAGATAGTAAATAGTCATTATCCTTTATTGGACATTCATCAGCAGTTGTTTTTTTAATAAATTTAAAATTTTCATGTTTTTCTATATCACATAGATTTTTGTTTTGAAAATTACAATGAATTAAATAATTGGATTTTTTATCATTAACAAAACTATTTTTAGATTGTTGTTTGCAAACATCATCTTTTGAAATTGTTTCAGTGAATGTTTCTTCATATTCTTCCCAAATATTAATTAATTGAAAATCATATATTTGTGCACTTTCAATAGAATATCTCAAATATTTAAATGACATCAAAATAAAATAGTCAATGTCTCTTAGAGATGACCCTGATTCTTTCACCTTTTTGAGTAGTTTCATTTTTACATTGAATGAAGCAGTAAAATTTTCTTTTTGAAATTTCAAATTTTCAACATCAGTTATTGAATAATATTTCAAATTTTTGAATAACCTCAATACAAATAATGTTAACTGACTCTTATAAAATTTAAATATTTCAGAATGAGAATCATATAGCAAGTAAGAAAATTGTTGATTAAATTTCATTTCCATAGATACAAAAGCTAAAGAGCAAAAAAAACATTTTTAAATTTAAATTCAAAAGTTATCTGGTTTCTTAATTGTTATTCCAGCATGGTTTATCCAAAATGCTGATATCTTCTATACTAGCTTGTGAAAGCCTGAAGGAATTCAATAAAAATCGAAATTTGACCTAAATTAAATAACAGTTTATTCTAAAACTTAAATTTAAAAAAAAAGTATTTTCTCACTTGAATTATATCACCCAAAAGTGAAATTCTCCAATTGTCTTTATCAATACTAACCTTGTAATAACTTTTTCAAAAACAAAAAACAAACACCATTAAAATAAAAATTATTCTAGTTAATTAATTTCTAATTTTACCTAAAAAAATATTTTTGTCTGAGTTTTCGGACAAATAATTCAAATTCAACAGATTTCTCACTAGACACGTTAAAAAATGCTAAACAGTTAATTCTTTGTTTAGAAAGATCATAAATTGGAGAAAAAAGATTTGCATATTCATTTTGATCAGACAAAAGTATCTTAGGTAATATCAATACCAATTTTTCATCTCTGTGTAAAAATATTATAATTCGATAATTAAAGTCTAAAAAAACTTTGAAATAAAAATTAACAAAATTTTCCTTACCAGTTTTGGTTTGAAAACTTTGAAAGGATAGATGAAAATTGGAGTATAATTGATTTTGAAATGAAAAACCACAGAAATTTTTATAAGGGCATTTTTGTTGTAAAGCTATTATTCTTTTTTTTTGATAATCATGAAATATTTAATAAGTAAATGTGCACTTAGATATAATGATATATCAATACTTAGACTTTAGATATAAGGGTACATTAGAAAGACTTCTATTTTGTAGGAATTAGACTGGTGCAACTATAGAAATACTTATATTTCGTAGGAATTATTGTGGTGGAACTTTAGAGAGACTTTTATTTCGTAGTGTTAGCTTTATTACTTTAGAAAGAACTCTATTTCGTAAGAAATAGACTCTTGACTGTAACAGATGGCGGCTACTTGGGAATTAACAAAGGAACAAAGAACATGGAAAAGATGCAGGTCAAACACCAGATGCTGATGAGGCAGGCCTGTTTACTGCAGCACATGTTTGACATGTGGCCCTAATCTTAGGATTATATTTTATATGTGTGATATAACAGTTTTTCATAATTTTGTTACACGAGTGTACTTGGTTGTGTTGTAATTGTAGGAATTTCTGGTTCGTCACAACTGTAATTGTCCTTTCCAATCATTTACCAACTTGCCAAAGTACTCAAACAAATAGAACCTTTAAAGTTCGTCCACAAATAGTCTAACAAAGGCAACTTCGGTAGAAATTAATCAACAAAACACCAGTATTTCGTGCAAAGAATATGTATTGAGTAAAATGAGCTTCTAGTTCTAAACAAGCTAGTTTAAACAACTAGCTGATGTGAAAAAACTGTCGTGACATGAAAAGTGAACTGTCAACTGTTAATTTTGTAGGGTTTATATACTCTTTTAAGGGTTGATAGTTCACAAATTTCAATGTTCACAAAAACAAAAGTAACATTTGAAGACAAAGAAAAGTTCTAAATATTTTCATGTTCTTATTTTTTTCATCTTCTAAATAATAGTTGAATTTGAAGGTTGGAGAGTTGCATAAGATGTAACAATTTTAGTAGGACAAGTCCAAAAATGAAGAAAACATATAGATTGTATATTTGACCGTTTTTATATTCTACCTTAATAATGATATTGAATTGATTGAGTTAGTAAATTTAGCATCAGCATATAAGGAGGAAGTATATCTGATTAATGCATGTTAAAAAGAACAGTATTGTGTATACAATACTGTTGAATAGTGAATATAATCTAAACTTAGAATTGAAGCATAATTGATAATTAATTGAACTAGTTTTAGTTGAAAATCATAAATGTATGGATTAATAAATTGTAATATTAATGCTAAAATGTTGCAAATAGCAAATATTCTGTATATAATTTAATAGGTTTTATTGCTGCGAAATGTGTATGCACTGCCCTACGCGAAACTAGGTCACTACTGCTTATCTTTATCAGTGCTATCTGCATAGTACAATACTGGTTCAATACTACTTCTCTATTGTAGAATATAGCTGACGAATGTATGTGTACAGTTTTATTAATATTTTTTGGATAAATCAAATTATTGTAGTTTACTCTCCCACATGCTTCATTTTGAATTTCTATCTTAAGATGTTGTTTTTCAAATTTGGTTGATGATGAAATTTGATCAGAGATGATACTAAGTCCAAAAAGATCTTGTCCTTCAACTAAAAATAGAAACTGACCAATTAATTTTTAGCTATACAGACAGATAGACAGACACAAAATATGAATAAACTCAATCTCTCCTCCTGTTTACCTGGAATAAAACAGTATGCAAAGCTTATTAAATAGAAAATCCGTATAGTCAACTTCATGATGAACTGTTGAACAGCAGTAGGATTTTTTTCACAAAGTATAATTTTCTCAAATATCAACTCATTATTTTTCAATAGTTTAATCACCTTTTGATGTAATTGAAGTATGTTTTTCCTTTAACTTACAGAACCATATGAACAACCTGAAAATTGATCAAACATGTGGAAATTTTACAGGGAAATTGAAGTATTTAAATAGTTTCAACTTTTGTTCATTCTTTTTCATGAATGGAACAGAATTGATTTTGATCATGGCTTTTGTTTGGAGGTAGAAATTTACCATTACTAAATTTTGTTTGATATGGTTTATAAACAAATTTACAAGACAGTCACAGATCTGCAATCAATGAT